TTGGTTTTTTTATTTCAACATAAACTATAGTTAATATTTTTCTCTGAACTGTACGGAGTTTTTAGTTAATAATGATCGAGTGTTTTTTTTTCATTTCCTTTAATACTTTATAATAATAATTTCTTTGAGCATTTATTTGTCATATTAGTTAAAATTAATATTTGGAAAAATAGGATATTTAAAAATTTAACAATTTGGATTTTTCCTAAACTACTTTTTAAATTTTTAATTATTTATAAAATTATAATAAATAATGATCCACAAACTTTGGTTATTATATAAATGTATGTAAACTTAAATAAATAACTCGTTCTATAGTAAATAATTAAGGACACTTTTGTATCTCCTTGTCATATTTCAAAATTATCTCTTTAAAAGGTTTAATAATTTTTATTGTGACAATTTAGTTATTTATTTTGCAAGGTCAATTTACCTAAAACATGTTCAATAATGTCAAGCATAAAGGTAAAAAGATAAATTTTGAGTAATACATTAAAGCTTTGCTTGAATTTGAATTGCAAATTTGCGACTGATAGCCAAATTAGGTAGAAAAATATTTCTTGATTACACAAGTATTAATTATTCTCATTGCAAAAGGAAGTGAATTTTTAGGTAAACTCGTTGTTAATTTACTCTAAGCTATGCAGTAAAAAGTAAAATTTACATAAAGAAACAGAAAGTATTACTATAAAAGGAAAAGTTTAAGATAATAGCCAGTCATTTTGAAGAGTTTGTTAAGATTTAGTAAGCGAAAATCTGAATGTAAAATTGGATAATATTATCCTTATTAACAATATGATTGAATTCTACGCAACAAACGATAAATGTCCCTCAAACCTCGCCAGGGTTCTCTCTACTTGTTGGCTGAAGTTAATTGAATTCTCTTCTTGAAAACCCTGCTTCTTTATTTATTTATTTATTTTGATAAGCCTGATAGTGTTTCATTGAAACAAATGAGGATTACTTCAATTGTACCCTCCAGAGAAACAAAGATTTCTGGGCATTTGAGCCCGTTCAATCACACCAGCCCGGTACATACACCTCATTCAATCAACCTTTGGATGTTCATCCTCTTAATGTCTTAGGAAACTCAATATTATACTAAATGAGTCAAAAAGCTACTAGCAAAATTCACAGTCGGGCTTAACCATTGAAGTTTAAGAAGATGAGGGGTGTAGATAATGTTGAGAAAGAGTTTGAAAGAATCGTTGGAGCCATTGAAGTTGCCAACAGGATTAAACACCCTTTTCGGAAACTGACCTAGCGACCTAATCGGCCTCCAGTTGTCTCTTGCATTATCCTTCATATCTTCCAGCAGTTTACGGGGATCAATGTGATCATGTTTTATGCTCCGGTGCTGTTTCAAACTATGGGATTCGTGGGGCAGTGCATCGCTTTTATCAGCTGCCATCACCGGTTCAGTGAATGTATTGTTCTACATTTATTGCTATCCGCAGTGTGGATTAAGCTGGAAGGAAACCGTCTACTCATTGCTGGAGCTCTATGCATGCTGGCTGCACAGATCATTTAAATTATTCACCTACTAGACTATGAAAAAAAATGAAAAAAAAAAAAGATTATTGCTAACAAAGATTTATGATTTCCCTTCTTTATTTTTCGCAGTGTGTAAAGGCGGCACTTCTGCAAACAAAGTATGTTTCTGGCCATGGGTTCCCAACGGGTGGCTAATAGCTAGTGAAGTCTTCCCACTGGAGATTCGAATATGCTGTGCACCTTCATTATTGCTCAAGCATTCCTGACCATGCTTTGCCATATGCGTGCTAACATCTTCTTCTCCTTTGCTGCGATACTTGCCACCATGACTATCGGAGTAATCGCCATGCTCCCTGAAACGAAGGCTATCCCAATAGATGGAATGGTTGAAAGAGCATGGATGCAGCACTGGTTCTGGAAAAGGTTTTAGAAATTACCTGGTGGCGATGACATTGAAAAACAAATGCAAGTGCAGCTTGAGCAACAGGAAATTAAGCGCGTTGATTAAATTGCATATCTTCTATTCATGTTCTGGCACAGCATATATATTATTTAGTTCTAGTATTTCATAATAAGCTACAGTTTTATCCGTCAGGTAGGGTGGCTAAGTAATAAGTATTCTTTACCCTTTGCATTGTCTAGTTTTGCTTTTCTTTTAAATAAAACTCCATCACAAGCTGTGGTTTATATAGATTTTATTAATTGACAGAATCTGCCAAAGGTACCAGTCTCAGTATTTATTTTTTTCATTTGTCTAATAGTACCAGTTTGGTTTAATAGCTTCGACATAATTGCCAAAAGAAATTGATAAGAAGTGAAAACTGAATTGACGACGTCATCCAATGCTAAGGTATTTATAATAGGAAAGTATAGTGATTTGATAAACCTAAGAAGTGTCTTTAGATAAGATGACATCAGAACTCAAGTTACTGATAAGGTTTGAATCTGTTAGCTTGACATTTTCTTCTTCTTCTTCTTCTTCTTCTTATCAGTTTGATTCTTCTCCCCATTGAGCTGAGGGACCAGCAATGGTCGCTGGAGTCCTCTGTCTGAACTGTTGCATTACATTCTGCAACGTGCAGGGCTTATTGCCTGACTGGTTTGTGTTCTGCGTTGTGTGCTTTACAGCTCAACTGATTAAGTGTTGACCTTGAGATGATTATTGCATTTAATTATTTTCTCTTCTCATCACCATTACCTTTACCGATCAAATCTTATCTCACCGTTAGTTTCCATCTTACCATTATAATTCTTAATCTCACCACTACGATAGCCAATCTCCTTGACAATGTTGTTTTCAATCTCACCGGAGCAAATCTCATCGTCGTGTCAAAATAAACTTCGTTACAAAGTATAAATATTGCAATATATGAAAATAAGCTTAATCAAAATTAATAATAAATCTAATTAGTGATAAACAACTTAAGATTTAAATAACTTAATATCCAAACTCAATGTAATTCCAATTTTTGAACCGTCGGATTTTAATTTGAACTAAACCAACTGCGATTGCTTGTTGCTATTTCCTTTTTTGGCCAATAGCATATTGATTATGACGCTGATCTATTGAAAGTTAGTTACACCTTCAAGAAACATTGGAAGGGAAGACGGGTAGTTTATCAACAAGAAAAGGAAAAGTCAACTTCACTTAAACGTACGGTAGGATCCCACTGTACTCCAAAATAACTGCCACTAGTTCTCGTTATGTTACACCAGGGACTAGTCTGCAAAAGCCTCCCTCATCCAAGCGTTTACCATTCTTGTTCGTAACGTCTTTGAAATAAAGTGAATGCCGAAGAAACATTTCCCTTTTCCCGATCTCTGTTCAATACAACTGGATCAATGGATTGCGCTTACAAGAACCCAAATGCACCCATAGAGGATCGAGTCAAAGACCTTCTTTCTCGAATGACTCTACAAGAAAAGATTGGTCAAATGACCCAAATCGAGCGACGTGTCGCCACTCCCTCTGCTCTCAAAGATTTTTCCATCGGTACCCTTTCTTCTAGGCATTTTCTCGAGCAGGTTGTTGACAATTATGTATTTTGGAAAACGATGAATGGCCTCTTTTTGCTTTTTGGGCAGGGAGTATACTTAGTGCTGGAGGAAGTGAGCCATTTGAGAAGGCACTGTCATCTGATTGGGCTGATATGGTGGACAGGTTCCAGCGGGCAGCACTTGAGTCGCGGCTTGGGATACCGCTTATATATGGGATTGATGCAGTCCATGGTAACAATAGCGTCTATGGTGCCACTATATTTCCTCACAATGTTGGCCTTGGAGCCACTAGGTTTGTTTTCACCTTTGAACCCCCTCTCCCCCAAGTTTTGGTAGTAATTTCTAATGTGTTTTGATCAATGGCGGTGCTGACAAATAAAAAGAAAAGAAGATTGTGATATAATTTTTCCCCAAATCATTAAGTCCATTGGAGAGAAAAAGAGAAAAAAGAGTCTTAGACAATTCAACTGGAAGAAACTAAGTATTCTTGTATTTACCCTTCTTTATTTCCTCCTTCAAGTTTGTATAGTAAAAGATTCTTGGGAAGATTATTTATTATACGGTAACAGTAACTCTAATTATTCGAAATATATGATAGAGATGCTGATTTGGCTCAAAGAATTGGGGCTGCAACCGCTCTTGAAGTTAGGGCAAGCGGCATTCAGTATACCTTTGCACCATGTGTTACCGTAAGTCATTGTAAACATAATTGGTCAAATGTGCTTCTATTTCTACTGTGTTTGCATTCAATAATTACCAATCAAAACAAGGAATGTGACATCAATAAGCCAGTAACTCACTTTATATTACAGCTTGCACCTATTACACAAATATGCAATATCACATTAATTTTTGAATCATAGTTCCATGCGATTATAGGACATCTTATGTTCTAAATTTCTTTTTATCTATGCCTGGTGTTATTTTTGTCTGAACATCAAGTTGAGTTTAAAATAGGGTCTGAGCAATTGTTTTAATGGATTATAACAGGTATGCAGAGATCCCAGATGGGGAAGATGTTATGAGAGTTATAGTGAAGACACAAACATTGTTAGAAAAATGGCTTCCATTGTTACAGGTTTGCAGGGACAGCCACTGGTAGGACACCCGAAG